CCAAACCCTTGCCTCTCTCTCCTCTCTCTCCTCTCTCTTGTAAACAAAATCTTGAACTCCCTCCCCAAAAAACCCCCACGGCATTTATACCGCACACGCACGCACGCGCACACAGAGACACACAGACACACAGACAGACACACACAGACATACAGAGACACAAAGACACAGACAGACAGAGACACACACACAGACACAAAGACACACAGACACACACAGACACACAGATAGAGACACAAAGACACAGACACACAGACAGAGACACACAGACAGACACACAGACACACACAGACAGAGACACAGACACACAGACAGAGACACACAGACACACACAGACACAAAGACAGACACAAATACACAGACACACACAGACACAGACACACAGACACAGAGACACAGACACACACACAAAGACACAGACACACACAGACACAAAAACACAGACACACAGACACACAGACACACACAGACACAAAGGTTCAGACACACACAAAGACACAGACACACACAAAGACAGAGACACAAAGACACAGACACAGAGATGCACACATACAGAGACACAGACACACAGACACAAAGACACAGACACGCACAGACACAAAGACACACATAGACGCAAAGACAAAGACACAGACACACACATACACACACAGACACACAAAGCCACAGACACATACAGACACACACAGACAGAGACACACAGACACAGAGACACAGACACACACACAAAGACACAGACACACACAGACACAAAAACACAGACACACAGACACACAGACACACACAGACACAAAGATACAGACACACACAAAGACACACACACACACAAAGACAGAGACACAAAGACACAGACACAGAGATGCACACATACAGAGACACAGACACACAGACACAAAGATACAGACACGCACAGACACAAAGACACAGACACACATAGACACAAAGACAAAGACACAGACACACACATACACACACAGACACACAAAGCCACAGACACATACAGACACACACAGACAGAGACACACAGACACAAAGACACAGACACACACAGACAGAGACACACAGACAGAGACACACAGACACAAAGACAGACACACAAAGCCTCAGACACACAGACACATACAGACACACAGAGACACAGACACAGAGACACAAAGACACACACAGACAGAGACACATAGACAAACAGACAGACAGACACACAGACAGACAGACACACACACAGACACACACAGACACACATACACATGCACACGCGTGCGTGTGATATATTGACACTTATGCATTATATATACACACCACGGATATTAAGGATTTAAGTGTGCATTGCTAGAGGATTTGTTGATGATGATAATGATGATTGTTTTATTTTGGAGGGATATTTAATAAATATAACTTTTGCTTTCGACTCATTGTCTGTGATGGTCTTCCCTCCCTCACACCGCGGGTGTCAATTATTTCCAGGTCCGTGCCCGAAACGTCGCGACCACCACGGCTCAGTCCACCATCGTCCGTCCATGTGTCTGTCTTTGTGTGTGTGTCTAGTGGGGAGCGGTAGTGTAGCGGTTAGCGCGCTGCGCTATGAACCTGGCGATCCGGGTTCGATTCCCGCTCACGGCTAACACCAGTGACGATTATCTGAACCGGTCCTGGGCCTCCCCTAGGTCGACTCAGCCTTAAATGAGTACCTGGTGCGGTGTGTAAACATCGCCACTAGGGAGACAAAGGCGGTCGGGCGTGGTGCTGGCCACCCACCCCCTCGGGTACCGTTCCGGCCTTCATAGGTGCTCGCTAACAGCACTTGCCCCTACAGTCTGTTCAGGCTATACGGGGGATCTTTGTCTTTTGTCTGTGTGTGTCTGTGTGTCTGTCTGTGTGTGTGTCTTTGTGTGTGTGTGTGTGTCTGTCTGTGTGTGTGTCTTTGTGTGTGTGTGTGTCTGTCTGTGTGTGTGAGAGTGTGTGTGTCTATGTGTGTGTCTGACCGCGTAGTTCGTGAAGCCTTCAATAGCTGTACCGGGGGAATTTCCGTTTGGTACAGATATAATGGGAGGCTGATCGACGCCCGGGTGCGATCAAGGGATGGCTCCCTATTGGTCAACCACGTTATGTATGCCGATGATTTGGTAATAGCTGCTCATTCAGAAGAGGAGTTGGAGGCGCTGCTGCTGAGACTGGAGCGTGCCACTAAGAGGTGGGGCCTTACCATCAGCCCCACCAAAACCAAGCACCTGCCTGGGTATTTTGTACCATCGGACACTCCACCCCCACAACTCCCAATTGGTGATGGGGCAGTTGTGGAGAGAGTGGAGAGTTTCCCATACCTGGGCAGTGTGCTTATGACCGGCTCCAGTCTATCAGCAGAGGTCTCACTCCGAATCAGTCGAGCGGCAATATCTTTTCATCGGTTGCGTAACGCTGTGTGGAAGCTACCTGGTCTGTCGCTCCGCACGAAGCTTCAGGTCTTCTCGGCCACGGTCATTCCCTCCCTTCTCTACGCTTGCGAGACGTGGACCCCCCTGGTGGAGCATCTTCGCCGGTTGGAAACATTTAGGCTGGCCTGCCTACGATCCATCCTGGGTTTAACCAGGCTGGATTGTGTGAGGAGCTCACAAATCCTTGAAAGATCTGGGCAAAGTCCCATCAGTGAGCTCCTCCGGCAGGCAAGGCTGCGTTGGCTGGGTCATGTAGCCCGCATGCCCAGCCACCGCATGCCTAAACAGCTTTTGTTCGGCCGGATCGAGGGGGCTAGACGGGCGCGGCACGGGCTGGAGAAGAGATGGAGTGATGTGGTACAGGAGGACGTGGAGCTGAGTGGACTTGCCGATGACTGGTACCAGCGGTGTCAAGATCGGCCTCAGTGGAGGAGGCTCGTGAAGGACGCTACTGGGCAGTTGGAGGCAGTCGCCCTCCAACAACAACGGAGGGCGGAGGAGCGACGCTCACAACAACGAGCGGAGCGCCGGGTGGCTAAAGCACAGCAAGTTGGCACAGTAGGGGGCACAGGTGGTGCATCAGCCAGTCATCTCGGTCATCTCGGTCAGTCGACCAGTGGCACCTGGGTCTGCCCCGTGACCTCCTGCCAGCGGGCTTTCGACACTTCACGTGGCCTCAAGGTGCACTTGGCCTGGCACAAGCATCGTGGTGACGTCACCGCCACTTAGTGGCGAATGGCGGTTGTTGTTGTTGTTGTCTGTGTGTGTGTCTGTCTGTATTTGTGTGTGTTTGTCTGTGTGTGTGTCTGTCTGTGTATCTATGTGTCTGTCTGTCTTTGTGTGTGTTTGTCTGTGTGTGTGTCTTTGTGTGTGTGTGTGTATCTATGTGTGTTTGTGTCTGTCTGCGTGTGTCTGTCTGTCTTTGTGTGTGTCTGTGTGTGTGTATCTATGTGTGTCTGTCTGTGTCTGTCTTTGTCTGTGTGTATCTATGTGTCTGTGTGTGTCTGTCTGTGTGTGTGTGTCTGTCTGCGTGTGTCTGTCTGTGTATCTATGTGTGTGTGTCTGTGTGTATCCATGTGTCTGTCTGTGTGTCTGTCTTTGTGTGTGTTTCTATGTGTCTGTGTGTGTGTATGTGTGTGTCTGTGTGTATCCATGTGTCTGTCTGTGTGTCTATGTATGTGTGTGTATCTATGTGTGTCTGTGTGTGTATCTATGTATCTGTGTCTATCTGTCTGTGTGTGTCTGTGTGTCTGTCTGCGTGTGTCTGTCTGTGTGTGTATGTGTGTGTGTATCTATGTGTGTGTGTCTGTGTGTATCCATGTGTCTGTCTGTGTGTCTGTCTTTGTGTGTGTTTCTATGTGTCTGTGTGTGTGTCTGTGTGCATTGTCAGGGTCCGGGATCGATCCCGCGACCTCCTGCACACCAGGCGAGGTAGTCAACATCTCATAGCCACCGTGATGATGATGATAGAGACGCAGACTCCAAATAAACAGCAGACATCGTCAGGGTCGGGATCGAACCCACGACCTCCTGTGTACCAGGCGAGGTAGTCAACATCTCATAGCCACCCGCAATGCCCACCCAGCGGGGGTTGGAAACATTTGCATTTCTAAGACGCGATTGAAATGTCACTGGTAACACGCTGTGGTGCTTTTGATTGAGCCCCCCACCACCCCCACCCCCCCCACACTGAGAGGGACTTTCAAATGAGCGGTGTGTGTCGTATAAACATCGCCAGCACTGGGGGAGAGACAAAGGCGGCCGGGCGTGGTGCTGGTAGCCACCCACCCCCTCTGTGTGTGTAGCCACAGTGCCGGTAGCCTTCATAGGTAGCGCTGCTACTCGCTAACAGCACTTGTCCCTAGAGCCTGCTAGAGGCTACACGGGGGACCTTTGTCTGTGTCTACCAGTACCGGAAGACATCTTCCGCCACCGGAACATTATCTACCTCTTCCGGAAGACATCTTCCGCCACCGGTAGATTATCTACCAGTACTGGAAGATATCTTCCGCCACCGGAAGATCATTTACCTCTTCCGGAAGAATCTACCGCCACCGGTAGATTATCTACCAGTTCCGGAAGACATCTTCCGCCACCGGTAGATCATCTACCTCTTCCGGAAGACATCTTCCGCCACCGGAAGATCATTTACCTCTTCCGGAAGACATCTACCGCCACCGGTAGATCATCTACCAGTTCCGGAAGAGATCTTCCGCCACCGGAAGATTATCTACCAGTACCGGAAGACATCTACCGCCACCGGAAGACATCTACCGCCACCGGTAGACGACTTCCACGCGTCGAAGAAAACAAGTCGCATCGGTGTCTACTTCCGGTGACGTCACGTCCGTGCGTCCCTCCCATTGGTCGATTTAACCTCGGAGTGGGTGGGGTCAGGGGGGTTCAGGGTGGGGCGAAGGGGCGGGGTCTCGCGTACTCGCCCTTGCGATTGGTCAATTTGAACCGGGAAGACGCTCGCTGATTGGTTGCCGAGGTTTTTAAAACGCGGAAGTGGCTGGGGCTTATTTTTGGCGGCGGTTTGTAAAGTAAATAAATAATCGCGTCTATACAAAGCACCTCACAGCGTTGCGCGTGTGTCTCTAATGTTTTAAAAGTTCATAAAATTAACAATCTTCTTGGTTCTTTCGGTAAAGTCACGTAGAAGGGAAGTAATAAAATAATAAAAATAAAACATAATAAAATGAAATAATTCTCACGACGTTTCGTGACTTTACCGAAAGAACCAAGAAGATGAATCCCTGCAGTCACGAAAGCTTTAAATCGAATATTAACAACATTAACAACATTGTCACAGTTCGTTTTTTCAGTAACAGCAACAACAGCAGCAGCATCAGCAACAACAGCATCAGCAACAGCAGCAGCAACAGCATCAGCAACAACAGCAGCAGCAACATCAGCAGCAACAGCAGCAGCAGCATCAGCAACATCAGCAGCATCAGCAACAGCAGCAGCAACAGCAGCAACATCAGCAGCATCAGCAACATCAGCAGCATCAGCAACAGCAGCAACATCAGCAGCATCAGCAACAGCAGCAGCAACAGCAGCAACAGCAGCAACAGCATCAGCAGCATCAGCAGCATCAGCATCAGCAACAGCAGCAGCAGCATCAGCAACATCATCAGCATCAGCAACAGCAGCAGCAACAGCAGCAACATCAGCAGCATCAGCAACAGCAGCAGCAACAGCAGCAACAGCAGCAACAGCATCAGCAGCAACAGCAGCAGCATCAGCAGCATCAGCATCAGCAACAGCAACAACAGCATCAGCAACAGCAGCATCAGCAACAGCAGCATCAGCAGCGGGAACGGGGTGAACGACAAAGGAAGAGCGGCGATGTCAAACGAGGAGGACGCGGCGATCCCCGTCCGCGTGGCCGCGCGCTGCCGCCCCAATGGCGCCGCGGGGGCTGCGGGATGGCTGCGTCCCCTGCGTCACCGTCGCACCCGGCGAGCCGCAGGCGAGAGACACGGAGGGAGAGCGCGAGAGAAAGATCCGGACACATTAATTCTAGATTTGAAGCTTTCGTGACTGCAAGGATTCATATTCTTAGGTTTTTTCGGTAAAGTCACCGTGTAGGTAAAACATCAAAATTAATGAAACTAAAATGAAATAAAAATCACGACGTTTCGGAGGCAACACGAGTCTCCGTCAGCAGGTGGGACCGTCACAGCCGAATTAGCTGCATCAAGTGAGGCAAGGATTCAAGATGTAATCCCTTAAAAGCAAGTTGCTTGCTTACTCACTGATGCAGCTAATTCGGCTGTGACGGTCCCACCTGATGACGGAGACTCGTGTTGCCTCCGAAACGTCGTGATTTTTGTTTCATTTTATTTTCATTAATTTTGATGTTTTACCTACCTGGTGACTTTACCGAAAAAACCTAAGAATATGAATCCGGACACATTCCCATCGGCGAGCTCCTCCGGCAGGCGAAGGCTGCGTCGGGCAACAAAACGGACACCTTTTTAACAGGTCCCTGCGGGGTGGGCTGGTAGGAACGAATAACCAAAGAATATAAACATAATGTATAATCACACTTGTTTAGCCAGGAAAGCCTCACTGAGTCTAAAGGTTTTTGTAGGGTCCTGCCAAGTGTTTGCAGTAGGGGGCGATGTTGCTACACCGAATCGGACGATACGAAGGGAGAGATTGAGGCCTAGTTCTAGGCTTTAGGCCTAGCTGTAGGCTTTAGGCCGCTGTGAGTTGATTTTTAATTTAAATGTTTTAATTATTAATGTAAACACTTTAAATGTAAATGTTTCTATTTAAAAACATCAGGGAATGTAACATTGTTAAACACTAACTCCCTTTCACACACGCGGGGGTACGATACGAAGGGAGAGTTTGAGGCCTAGTTCTAGGCTTTAGGCCTAGCTGTAGGCTTTAGGCCGCTGTGAGTTAATGTTTAATTTAAATGTTTTAATTAAAAGCTATCTCAGGGAATTATAAGGGAATGTTACACTTGTTTAGCCAGGAAAGCATCACCGAGTCTAAAGGTTTTTGTAGGGTCCTGCCAAGTGTTTGCAGTAGGGGGCGATGTTGCTACACGGACGGACGGATGGACGATATAATCTATTGTGGGCTGGTTCACTTCATTTCCTACCAGTAAAATCCTTTATATTAAGTTCACTTGCTTGCTTGCGCGCTTACGACCGTGCAAATGTTTCGGTCGTTTTTAATTTAAATCCTTTATATTAAGTTCACTTGCTTGCTTGCTTGCGCGCTTACGACCGTGCAAATCTTTCGGTCGTTTTTATTTAAATCCTTTATATCAAGTTCGCTTGCTTGCTTGCGCGCTTACGACCGTGCAAATGTTTCGGTCGTTTTTTAACCCGCTTCCCGTGATCCAAGATCGGCCTTTGTGGAGGAGGAGGCTACTGGTGCAGTGCCAGGCTAGGTGCACTTTGGGGCAGTCGCCCTCCAGCGATAACAACGGAGGGCAGAGGAGCGACGCTCACAATAACGAGCGGAGCGCCGGGCGGATAAAATGCAGCGAGTTGGCACAGTAGGGAGGTACAGCTGGTGGTGCATCTACCGCTCATCTCGGTTGGCCAACCCGTGGCACCTGCTGGGTCTGTCCCGCGAATTCCTGTCAGCAGCGAGCCTTCGACACTTCACGTGATAGCCTCAAAGTCCACCTGGCATAGGTGCCATTGACGTCACCATCGCTTAGTGGCAAATGGCGGATATTGATTGGTATTGGTCAGAATCTTAACTACACATTTTTGGACCATCTTATCTGACAGCGCCTATTTTACTTTACCGAGTGTTAACATCCCCTTAACGACAGACGCTGTCGCCTCGACAGACCTGGTCTTCACCTGAGGATGGCTGCTTGCGTTGTGGCCGAAACGTCGTGAGAATTATTTTATTATGTTTTATTTTAATTATTGTATTACTTCTCTTCTTCGTGCTGACTTTACCGAAAGAATCAAGAAGATGAATCCCTGCAGTCACGAAAGCTTTACATCGAAAAGTACTCTCTTTATTGTCAGCCAACACTGGTATAAACAACGTGGGCATTTTCGTTCACTTCTATCATGTGCATCAACAGGTGCTTGTGCACAGGCATGTCCATGTCCACGTACACCACGTGATCTCTTTTAGCCCCGCCCTCCCGATACGTTCCATTCATTGGCTACCACATTCTGATAAGCTCCTCCCCCCCCTCTCCTCCGCCTTGGCTTGTATTTAAGAGCTTGCATCTTGGAATCCCTGCCTCACTTGATGCAGCAAATCTGGCTGTGACGGTCCCCCACCTGATGACGGAGACTTGTGTTGCCTCCGAAACGTCGTGATTTTTTATTTTCATTTTTTACCTACGTGACTTTACAGAATCTGAATATTTATTTGGACTTTAGGAGGGATCTGATGGGCTTATGAAGCTGTTTTTTCACAGATGGCCCAGCATGGGAAGTCCGCAAGTTACTACGGCAGACAGTGCAACAATAAGTAATATTTAAAAAAACTTTTAAAAAAAACACGCTTTAATGAAATGTACCCCGCTAGTAATGGAATAACTCCACGACTTCAGGAAGCAGAGAGGTCGCAATCGGGTACCCGATACCCGTACCCTACCCGATACCCGTACCCTACAAGATACCCGTACCCTACAAGATACCCGTACCCTACCCGATACCCGTACCCTACCCGATACCCGTACCCTACCCGATACCCGTACCCTACCCGATACCCGTACCCTACCCGATACCCGTACCCTACCCGATACCCGTACCCTACCCGATACCCGTACCCTACCCGATACCCGTACCTACCCTACCCGATACCCGTACCCTACCCGATACCCGTACCCTACCCGGCTACCCTGCTGCTGCTGCTGCTACTTGCTACGATCAGCACTTGCCCCGACAGCCTGCTAGAGGCTACACGGGGGAACTTTGTCTGTGTCTACCTTCACAGGCAGTGCTGCTGCTGCTACTCGCTACTAACAGCACTTGCCCCCACAGTCTGTTAAGGCTACACGGGGTGTGGCGGTGTGTGATCTGTGTGTGATCTGTGTGTGTTCTGTGTGTGTTCTGTGTGTGATGTGTGTGTGTGGGGATTGCAGATTGTGCTGAGCGGGGAGAAGGCCTTCACGTTCGACTTCGTGTTCGACCCGGCAGCCGAGCAGGAGGAGGTGTTTAGTAACGCCGTGGCCCCTCTCATCGATGGCATTTTCAAAGGTGAGGGAGCGAGTGTGTGAGCGTGTGAGCGTGTGTGTGTGTGCGCGCGCGCGTGTGTGAGCGTGTGCGTGTGTGCGCGCGCGTGTGTGTGTGTGCACGCATGTGTGTGTGCACGCGTGTGTGTACACGAGTGTGAGTGTGCGTAAACGAGTGGGGAGTCGAGCTCGATTCCCGCTCACGTGAGTAGCTGGTGTAGTAGCTGTGTGTGGTAGTGAGTAGCTGGTGTAGTAGCTGTGTGTGGTCGTGAGTAGCTGGTGTAGTAGCTGTGTGTGGTAGTGAGTAGCTGGTGTAGTAGCTGTGTGTGGTAGTGAGTAGCTGGTGTAGTAGCTGTGTGTGGTCGTGAGTAGCTGGTGTAGTAGCTGTGTGTGGTAGTGAGTAGCTGGTGTAGTAGCTGTGTGTGGTCGTGAGTAGCTGGTGTAGTAGCTGTGTGTGGTAGTGAGTAGCTGGTGTAGTAGCTGTGTGTGGTAGTGAGTAGCTGGTGTAGTAGCTTTGTGTGGTCGTGAGTAGCTGGTGTAGTAGCTGTGTGTGGTAGTGAGTAGCTGGTGTAGTAGCTGTGTGTGGTCGTGAGTAGCTGGTGTAGTAGCGGTGTAGTAGTGAGTAGCTGGTGTAGTAGCTGTGTAGTGTAGTAGTGAGTAGCTGGTGTAGTAGCGGTGTAGTGTAGTAGTGAGTAGCTGGTGTAGTAGCTGTGTGTGGTCGTGAGTAGCTGGTGTAGTAGCTGTGTGTGGTAGTGAGTAGCTGGTGTAGTAGCTGTGTGTGGTAGTGAGTAGCTGGTGTAGTAGCTGTGTGGGTCGTGAGTAGCTGGTGTAGTAGCTGTGTAGTGTAGTAGTGAGTAGCTGGTGTAGTAGCGGTGTAGTAGTGAGTAGCTGGTGTAGTAGCGGTGTAGTGTAGTAGTGAGTAGCTGGTGTAGTAGCTGTGTGTGGTCGTGAGTAGCTGGTGTAGTAGCTGTGTGTGGTAGTGAGTAGCTGGTGTAGTAGCTGTGTGTGGTAGTGAGTAGCTGGTGTAGTAGCTGTGTGTGGTCGTGAGTAGCTGGTGTAGTAGCTTTGTGTGGTCGTGAGTAGCTGGTGTAGTAGCGGTGTGTGGTAGTGAGTAGCTGGTGTAGTAGCTGTGTGTGGTCGTGAGTAGCTGGTGTAGTAGCTGTGTGTGGTAGTGAGTAGCTGGTGTAGTAGCTGTGTGTGGTAGTGAGTAGCTGGTGTAGTAGCTTTGTGTGGTCGTGAGTAGCTGGTGTAGTAGCGGTGTGTGGTAGTGAGTAGCTGGTGTAGTAGCTGTGTGTGGTCGTGAGTAGCTGGTGTAGTAGCTGTGTGTGGTCGTGAGTAGCTGGTGTAGTAGCTGTGTGTGGTAGTGAGTAGCTGGTGTAGTAGCTGTGTGTGGTAGTGAGTAGCTGGTGTAGTAGCGGTGTGTGGTCGTGAGTAGCTGGTGTAGTAGCTGTGTGTGGTAGTGAGTAGCTGGTGTAGTAGCTGTGTGTGGTAGTGAGTAGCTGGTGTAGTAGCTGTGTGTGGTAGTGAGTAGCTGGTGTAGTAGCTGTGTGTGGTAGTGAGTAGCTGGTGTAGTAGCTGTGTGTGGTAGTGAGTAGCTGGTGTAGTAGCTGTGTGTGGTAGTGAGTAGCTGGTGTAGTAGCTGTGTGTGGTCGTGAGTAGCTGTGTAGTAGCTGTGTGTGGTAGTGAGTAGCTGGTGTAGTAGCTGTGTGTGTAGTGAGTAGCTGGTGTAGTAGCTGTGTGTGGTCGTGAGTAGCTGGTGTAGTAGCTGTGTGTGGTAGTGAGTAGCTGGTGTAGTAGCTGTGTGTGGTAGTGAGTAGCTGGTGTAGTAGCTTTGTGTGGGTCGTGAGTAGCTGGTGTAGTAGCTGTGGTGTGGTCGTGAGTAGCTGGTGTAGTAGCGGTGTGTGGTAGTGAGTAGCTGGTGTAGTAGCTGTGTGTGGTAGTGAGTAGCTGGTGTAGTAGCGGTGTGTGGTAGTGAGTAGCTGGGTGTAGTAGCGGTGTGTGGGTCGTGAGTAGCTGTTAGTAGCTGTGTGTGGTAGTGAGTAGCTGGTGTAGTAGCTGTGTGTGGTCGTGAGTAGCTGGTGTAGTAGCTGTGTGGTCGTGAGTAGCTGGTGTAGTAGCTGTGTGTGGTAGTGAGTAGCTGGTGTAGTAGCTGTGTGTGGTAGTGAGTAGCTGGTGTAGTAGCTGTGTGTGGTCGTGAGTAGCTGTGTAGTAGCTGTGTGGTCGTGAGTAGCTGGTGTAGTAGCGGTGTGTGGTCGTGAGTAGCTGGTGTAAGTAGCTGTGTGTGGTAGTGAGTAGCTGGTGTAGTAGCTGTGTGTGGGCGTGAGTAGCTGGTGTAGTAGCTGTGTGGTCGTGAGTAGCTGGTGTAGTAGCTGTGTGTGGTAGTGAGTAGCTGGTGTAGTAGCGGTGTGTGGTCGTGAGTAGCTGGTGTAGTAGCGGTGTGTGGTAGTGAGTAGCTGGTGTAGTAGCTGTGTGTGGTAGTGAGTAGCTGGTGTAGTAGCTGTGTGTGGTCGTGAGTAGCTGGTGTAGTAGCGGTGTGTGGTAGTGAGTAGCTGGTGTAGTAGCTGTGTGTGGTAGTGAGTAGCTGGTGTAGTAAGCGGTATGTGGTAGTGAGTAGCTGGTGTAGTAGCTGTGTGTGGTCGTGAGTAGCTGGTGAGTAGCTGTGTGTGTAGTGAGTAGCTGGTGTAGTAGCTGTGTGTGGTAGTGAGTAGCTGGTGTAGTAGCTTGTGTGGTCGTGAGTAGCTGGTGTAGTAGCTGTGTGTGGTCGTGAGTAGCTGGTGTAGTAGCTGTGTGTGTAGGAGTAAGCTGGTGTAGTAGCTGTGTGTGGTAGGAGTAGTCTGGTGTAGTAGCTGTTGTGGTGAGTGAGTAGCTGGTGTGTATCGGTGTGTAGGTCGGAGTAGCTGGTGTAGTAGCGGTGTGTGGTCGTGAGTAATCTGGTGGTAGTGCTTGTGTGGTAGTGAGTAGGCTGGGGTAGTCGCTGTGTGTGGTAGTGAGTAGCTTGGTGTAGTAGCTGTGTGTGGTCGTGAGTAAGCTGGTGTAGTAGCTGTGTGTGGTCGTGAGTAGCTGGTGTAGTAGCATGTGTGTGGTCGGGAGTAGCTGGTGTATGTAGCTGGTGTGTGGTCGTGAGTAGCTGGCTGTAGTAGCTGTGTGTTGGTAGTGAGTAGCCTGGTGTAGTAGCTGTGTGTGGTAGTGAGTAGCTGGGTGTAGTAGCTGTGTGTGGTAGTGAGTAGCTGGTGTAGTAGCTGTGTGTGGTAGTGAGTAGCTGGTGTAGTAGCTGTGTGTGGTAGTGAGTAGCTGGTGTAGTAGCTGTGTGTGGTAGTGAGTAGCTGGTGTAGTAGTGGTGTAGTGTAGTAGTGAGTAGCTGTGTAGTAGCGGTGTAGTGTAGTAGTGAGTAGCTGTGTAGTAGTGGTGTAGTGTAGTAGTGAGTAGCCGGTGTAGTAGCTGTGTGTGGTAGTGAGTAGCTGGTGTAGTAGCTGTGTGTGGTAGTGAGTAGCTGGTGTAGTAGCTGTGTGTGGTCGTGAGTAGCTGGTGTAGTAGCTGTGTGTGGTAGTGAGTAGCTGGTGTAGTAGCTGTGTGTGGTAGTGAGTAGCTGGTGTAGTAGCGGTGTAGTGTAGTAGTGAGTAGCTGGTGTAGTAGCGGTGTAGTGTAGTAGTGAGTAGCTGTGTAGTAGCGGTGTAGTGTAGTAGTGAGTAGCTGGTGTAGTAGCTTTGTGTGGTCGTGAGTAGCTGGTGTAGTAGCTGTGTGTGGTAGTGAGTAGCTGGTGTAGTAGCTGTGTGTGGTCGTGAGTAGCTGGTGTAGTAGCTGTGTGTGGTAGTGAGTAGCTGGTGTAGTAGCGGTGTAGTGTGGTAGTGAGTAGCTGGTGTAGTAGCGGTGTGTGGTAGTGAGTAGCTGGTGTAGTAGCGGTGTGTGGTCGTGAGTAGCTGGTGTAGTAGCTGTGTGTGGTCGTGAGTAGCTGGTGTAGTAGCTGTGTGGTCGTGAGTAGCTGGTGTAGTAGCTGTGTGTGGTAGTGAGTAGCTGGTGTAGTAGCGGTGTGTGGTCGTGAGTAGCTGGTGTAGTAGCGGTGTGTGGTAGTGAGTAGCTGGTGTAGTAGCTGTGTGTGGTAGTGAGTAGCTGGTGTAGTAGCTGTGTGTGGTCGTGAGTAGCTGGTGTAGTAGCGGTGTGTGGTAGTGAGTAGCTGGTGTAGTAGCTGTGTGTGGTAGTGAGTAGCTGGTGTAGTAGCGGTATGTGGTAGTGAGTAGCTGGTGTAGTAGCTGTGTGTGGTCGTGAGTAGCTGGTGTAGTAGCTGTGTGTGGTAGTGAGTAGCTGGTGTAGTAGCTGTGTGTGGTCGTGAGTAGCTGGTGTAGTAGCTGTGTGTTGTAGTGAGTAGCTGGTGTAGTAGCTGTGTGTGGTAGTGAGTAGCTGGTGTAGTAGCTGTGTGTGGTAGTGAGTAGCTGGTGTAGTAGCGGTGTGTGGTCGTGAGTAGCTGGTGTAGTAGCTGTGTGTGGTCGTGAGTAGCTGGTGTAGTAGCTGTGTGTGTAGTGAGTAGCTGGTGTAGTAGCTGTGTGTGGTAGTGAGTAGCTGGTGTAGTAGCTGTGTGTGGTCGTGAGTAGCTGGTGTAGTAGCTGTGTGTGGTCGTGAGTAGCTGGTGTAGTAGCTGTGTGTGGTCGTGAGTAGCTGGTGTAGTAGCTGTGTGTGGTCGTGAGTAGCTGGTGTAGTAGCTGTGTGTGGTAGTGAGTAGCTGGTGTAGTAGCTGTGTGTGGTAGTGAGTAGCTGGTGTAGTAGCTGTGTGTGGTCGTGAGTAGCTGGTGTAGTAGCTGTGTGTGGTCGTGAGTAGCTGGAGTAGTAGCTGTGTGTGGTCGTGAGTAGCTGGTGTAGTAGCGGTGTGTGGTCGTGAGTAGCTGGTGTAGTAGCGGTGTGTGGTAGTGAGTAGCTGGTGTAGTAGCTGTGTGTGGTAGTGCACATCGCCACTGGGGAGACAAAGGCGGCCGGGCGTGGTGCTGGCCACCCACCCCCTCGTGTGCCACAGTGCCGGTAGCCTTCATAGGTGCTGCTACTCGCTAACAGCACTTGCCCCTACAGTCTGCTGAGGTTATACAGGGGATCTTTGTCTTTGTGAGCGAGGTGCGGAGTAGTTTTGGCCGGCTAGAAGGGGCTAAACCATCGCTGCACGGGCTTAGAGAAGCAATGGTTCTGAGATTGGGTGGGTGAGTGAGTGAGTGAGTGGTAAGGGCGTAAGGTAAAAGATTGGTGAGTGGGTGAGTGGTACGGGCTCGAGAAGAGATGGACTGATGGGTGAGTGGGTGAGTGGGTGGGTGGAGAAGAGATGGACTGACGGGTGAGTGGGTGGGTGAGTGGTACGGGCGAGAGAAGAGATGGAGCTGATGGGTGAGTGGCACGGGTGAGAGAAGAGATGGAGTGACGGGTGAGTGGGTGGGTGGGTGAGTGGGTGAGTGGGTGGTGGGTGAGTGGGTGGGTGTGTGGGTGATGAGTGAGTGGGTGGGGTGTGGGTGGATGAGTGAGTGGGTGGGTGTGTGGGTGATGAGTGAGTGGGTGGGTGGGTGAGTGGGTGGGTGGTGAGTGGGTGGATGGGTGAGTGGGTGGGTGGGTGGGTGAGTGGTGGGTGGGTGGGTGAGTGGGTGGGTGAGTGGGTGGCGGGTGGGCGAGCGGGCGGGCGGGGCGGGCGAGCGGGCGGGCGGGCGAGCGGGCGGGCGGGCGAGCGGGCGAGCGAGCGGGTGGGCGGATGAGTGGGCTGGGCGGGTGAGTGGGCGGGCGAATGAGTGAGTGGGCGAATGAGTGAGTGGGCGGGCGAGTGAGTGGGTGGGCGAGTGAGTGAGTGACTGGGTGGTCACCACCCACCCCTCTCCCCGCTCACCGTCTCGCAGGCTACAACGCCACGGTGCTGGCGTACGGACAGACGGGTTCTGGCAAGACGTTCACGATGGGCGGCGCGTACAGCGGCGACGCCGATCCACACTCCACCGGGATCATCCCGCGGGCCGTGCACGCTCTGTTCCGTGGGGTGCAGTCACGTGACGCCTACGAGTTCGCCATCTCCGTGTCGTACCTGGAGGTGCGTCACGTTCGCACGCGTGTCACGCACGCACACGCACGCACACGCACGCACACGCACGTACACGCACGTCATGTGCACACGTGCACGCACGTACACGCACGCACACGCACGCACACGCACGTACACGCACACGCACACGCACGTCATGTGCACACGTGTCACGCACGTGCACGTACACGCACGTACACGCACGCACACGCACGCACACGCACGCACACGCACGTACACACGCGCACACGCACGTACACACGCGTACACACACGTACACACGTGTTGTTGTCGTGTTACACAGTTGTGTTAAACTGTTGTTGTTGTGTTAGACAGTTGTGTTAAGTTGGTGTTGTGTTAGACAGTTGTGTTAAACTGTTGTTGTTGTTGTTGTGTTGTACAGTTGTGTTAAACTGTTGTTGTTGTTGTTGTGTAGATTTACCAGGAGGAAATCATCGACTTGCTGTACGTGGGCAAAGAGCGACCCTTGCTGTCCGTGAGGGAAGACCCCAAGGAGGGCATCAAGGTGAGACAACCTCCTCCTGGTCACCGTTTACTATTGGTGGCCACCCCGTCCGTACGTGTGTGTGTGTCTCTCTGTGTGTGTGTCTGTGTGTGCGTGCGTCTCTGTGTGTGTGTGTGTCTGTGTCTCTGTGTGTGTGTGTTTGTGTGTGTGTGTCTGTGTGCGTGTGTGTTTGTGTGTGTGTCTGTTGTGTGTGTGTCTGTGTGTGTGTGTGGTGTCTCTGTGTGTGTGTGTCTCTGTGTGTGTGTGTTTGTGTGTGTGTGTCTGTGTGCGTGTGTGTTTGTGTGTGTGTCTGTTTGTGTGTGTGTGTGTCTCTGTGTGTGCGTGCGTCTCTGTGTGTGTGTGTGTGTGTCTCTGTGTGTGTGTGTCTCTGTGTGTGTGTGTTTGTGTGTGTGTGTCTGTGTGCGTGTGTGTTTGTGTGTGTGTCTGTTTGGTGTGTGTGTCTGTTTGTGTGTGTGTGTGTCTCTGTGTGTGCGTGCGTCTCTGTGTGTGTGTGTGTGTCTCTGTGTGTGTGTGTCTCTGTGTGTGTGTGTTTGTGTGTGTGTGTCTGTGTGCGTGTGTGTTTGTGTGTGTGTCTGTTTGTGTGTGTGTCTGTTTGTGTGTGTGTGTGTCTCTGTGTGTGCGTGCGTCTCTGTGTGTGTGTGTGTGTGTCTCTGTGTGTGTGTGTCTCTGTGTGTGTGTGTTTGTGTGTGTGTGTCTGTGTGCGTGTGTGTTTGTGTGTGTGTCTGTTGTGGTGTGTGTCTGTTTGTGTGTGTGTGTGTCTCTGTGTGTGCGTGCGTCTCTGTTTGTTGTGTGTGTGTCTCCGTGTGTGTGCGTGTGTGTCTCTGTGTGTGTGTGTGTTGTCTCTGTGTGTGTGTGTGAGTCTCTGGCTGTGTGTGTGAGTCTCTGGCTGTGTGTGTGAGTCTTTGTGTGTGTGTGTCTCTGTGTGTGCGTCTCTGTGTGCGTGTGTGTGTGTCTCTGTGTGTGTGTGTCTCAGTGTGTGTGTGTGGTTGTATGTGCCTGTGTCTCTGTGTGTGTGCGTCTCTGTGTGTGTGTGTGTATGTGTGTGTGTGTCTCAGTGTGTGTGTGTGTGTCTGTGTGTGTCTGTGTGTGTGTGTGTCTGTGTGTGTGTCTGTGTGTGTGTGTGTCCTCTGTGTGTGTGTGTGTCCTCTGTGTGTGTGTGTGTCTCTGTGTGTGTGTGTGTATCTCTGTGTGTGCGTGTCTGTGTGTGTGTGTGTGTTTGTGTGTGGTGTCTGTGTGTGTGTGCGTGTGTGGTCTGTCTGTGTGTGTGTGTCTGTGTGTGTGTGTGTCTATGTGTGTCTGGTGTGTGTGTCCTCGGTGTGTGTCTCGGTATTTGTCTCTGTGTGTGTGTCTCTGTGTGTGTGTGTGTCTCAGTGTGTGTGTGTGTGTCTCAGTGTGTGTGCGTGTCTATGTGTGTCTGTGTGTGTGTCTCGGTGTGTGTCTCGGTATTTGTCTCTGTGTGTGTGTGTCTCTGTGTGTGTGTGTGTGTCTGTGTGTGTGTGTGTGTGTCTGTGTGTGTGTGTGTCTCAGTGTGTGTGTGTGTGTCTCAGTGTGTGTGCGTGTCTATGTGTGTCTGTGTGTGTGTCTCGGTGTGGTGTCTCGGTATTTGTCTCTGTGTGTGTGTCTCTGTGTGTGTGTGTGTGTCTGTGTGTGTGTGTGTGTGTCTGTGTGTGTGTGTGTCTCAGTGTGTGTGTGTGTGTGTCTCAGTGTGTGTGCGTGTCTATGTGTGTCTGTGTGTGTGTCTCGGTGTGTGTCTCGGTATTTGTCTCTGTGTGTGTGTCTCTGTGTGTGTGTGTGTGTCTGTGTGTGTGTGTGTGTGTCTGTGTGTGTGTGTGTCTCAGTGTGTGTGTGTGTGTCTCAGTGTGTGTGCGTGTCTATGTGTGTCTGTGTGTGTGTCTCGGTGTGTGTCTCGGTATTTGTCTCTGTGTGTGTGTCTCTGTGTGTGTGTGTGTCTCTGTGTGTGTGCGTGCGTGTCTCTCCCCCCACCCTCACCCCTCCTCACCTCACCTCCCTCTCCCCCCCCGCGGTAGATCTGCGGCCTGACTGAGCGCGTGGTGGCGACAGCGGAGGACATAATCTGCTGCCTGGAGCAGGGAAACCTGTCACGCATCGTGGGAGCCACCGCCATGAACGCTCAGTCCTCCCGCTCACACGCCATCTTCACTATCACCATCGAGCAGCGCGGCAGGGAGGACAGGTGGGGTGGTGGTTGTGGTGGTGGTGGTGGTGGTGGTGATTGTGGTGGTTGTGGTGGTGGCGGTTGTGGTGTTGATGGTTGTGGTGGTGATGATGGTTGTGGTGGTGGTGATGATGGTGGTTGTGGTGATGATGATAATGATGATGGTTGTGGTGATGATTGTTGTGGCGATGATGATGGTTGTGGTGGTGATGATGATGATTGTGGTGATGATGATAATGATGGTTGTGTGGTGGTTGTGATGATGGTTGTGGTAGTGATGATGATGGTTATTGTAATGATGATGATGGTAGTGGTGGTGATGATGATGGTAGTGGTGGTGATGATGATGGTTGTGGTGGTGATGATGATGGTAGTGGTGGTGATGATGATGGTAGTGGTGGTGATGATGATGGTAGTGGTGGTGATGATGATGGTTGTGGTGGTGATGATCATGGTAGTGGTGGTGATGATGATGGTAGTGGTGGTGATGATGATGGTAGTGGTGGTGATGATGATGGTAGTGGTGGTGATGATGAGGTTGTGGTGGTGATGATGATGGCTGTGGTGATGATGATGATGGCTGTGGTGATGATGATGATGGTAGTGGTGGTGATGATGATGGTAGTGGTGGTGATGATGATGGTTGTGGTGGTGATGATGATGGTTGTGGTGGTGATGAGATGGTTGTGGTGGTGATGATGATGCTGTGGTGGTGATGATGATGGCTGTGGTGGTGATGATGATGGCAGTGGTGGTGATGATGATGGTTGTGGTGGTGATGATGATGGCTGTGGTGATGATAATGCTGGTAGTGGTGGTGATGATGATGATGGTAGTGATAATGATGATGATGGCTGTGGTAGTGATGATGATGGTAGTGTTGATGATGATGATGAAGGTTATGGCGGTAGTGATGATGATGACGGTGATGATGATGATGGTAGTAGTGGTGTTGATGATGATGATGAAGGTTATGGCGGTAGTGATGATGATGACGGTGATGATGATGATTATGATGGTAGTAGTGGTGTTGATGATGATGATGACGGTTATGGCAGTAGTAGTATTAACGACAACGCTCATGATGTCGGTGCCTCCCCTCCCGCTCGCTCAGAGAGAGTCACTGCCGCAGCAAGCTCCACCTGGTGGACCTTGCCGGCCCCCAGCGTGCCAAGCGCACCAAGGCGGAGGGTGACCGCCTGCGTGAGGGCATCAACATCAACCGCGGCCTGCTGGCGCTTGGCAACGTGATCAGCGCGCTCGGGGAGGAGGGAGTGGCACGGCGGGCTCACCACGTGCCCTACCGTGACTCAGGGCTCACGCGGCTGCTGCAAGGTGACCGAGCCACGCGCGCAAGATGCACACGCGTGACACGTGGCACGCACGTGACACACACGTGACACGCTCGTGGCATGCGCGTGTCACTCACGTGGCGTACGACGACCCTCATGGTGACCTGCGTGTGTGCGCGTGTGTATGTGTGTGTGTATGTGCGTATGTGTGTGTGTGTTTGTATGTGCGTATGTGTGTGTGTGTTTGTATGTATGTGCGTGTGTGTGTGCGTGTGTGTGCGTGTGCGTGCGTGTGTGTGCGTGTGTGTGTGTATGTGCGTATGTGTGTGTGTGTTTGTATGTATGTGTGTGTGCGTGTGTGTCTGTGGGGAGCGGTAGTGTAGCGGTTAGCGCGCTGCGCTATGAACCTGGCGACCTGGGTTCGATTCCCGCTCACGGCTAACACCAATGACGATTATCTGAACCGGTCCTGGGCCTCCCCTAGTTCGACTCAGCCTTAAATGAGTACCTGGTGCGGTGTGTAAACTTCGCCACTGGGAAGACAAAGGCGGTCGGGCGTGGTGCTGGCCACCCACCCCCTCGTGTGCCGTGCCGGCCTTCATAGGTGTTCGCTAACAGCACTTGCCCCTACAGTCTGTTCAGGCTACACGGGGGATCTTTGATCTTTGTATGTGTGTGTATGTGTGTGTATGTATATGTATGCGTGTCTCTCCCTGTCTCTCTCTAGATTCTCTGGGAGGTAACAGCCTGACCCTCATGGTGGCCTGCGTGTGTGTGTGTGTGTGTATGTGTGTGTGTGTGTATGCGTGTATGCGTGTCTCTCCCTGTCTCTCTCTAGATTCTCTGGGAGGTAACAGCCTGACCCTCATGGTGGCCTGCATCAGCCCGGGCGACTCCAACCTGGAAGAAACCCTCAACACTCTGCGCTACGCTGACCGTGCGCGCAAGATCAAGAACAAGCCGATCGTGAACCGTGACCCCAACACGGGCGAACTGCAGATGCTCCGGCAAGAGGTGTGTTACCTCTCGACA